TGGTCCGAAGGGTCCGAAAAATGGATGCTTTGTATGTGGAAAACCTGGACATTATGCTCGAGATTGCAGGCATAATAAATCAAAAAAGGAGATCAATGCAGTGAATGCTAATGATGACATAATTGCTACTGTGAGCGAAATTATGGCAATCAAAGGCAAAGTCCAAGGCTGGTGGTATGATACATGTGCCACGGTTCATGTCTCATATGACAGGGCTGCATTCAAAACATATTCTGAGGCAAATGATGGACAAGAAGTACAAATGGGAAATGAAGTGCGATCCAAAGTTGTTGGAACCGGAACGGTCGAACTCAACTTCACTTCTGGAAAGAAAGTTACTCTTGTTAATGTGCTTCATGTCCCAGACATGAATAGGAATCTTGTTAGTAGGGATTTATTGGGAAAACCGGGTATTAAATATGTGTATGAATCGGGCAAACTTATTTTGACCCGTAATGGTGTGTTTGTTGGAAAAGGATATTCCGCTGAAGGAATGATCAAACTATGTATTACTGATAACATGATTAATGAAATTTCTAATTCTGCTTACATGCTTGATTCAGTTACTTTATGGCACAATAGATTAGCACATATTGGTATTAGTTCAATGAAGAGACTAATTAAACTTGGCTTGATATCATGTAATATCAAAGATTTCAATAAATGTGAATTATGTGTTAAATCAAAAATGATTAAGAAACCTTTCAAAAGTGTTGAAAGAAATACAAATCTGCTTGATCTTGTGCATTCAGATTTGTGCGAAGTTAATGGCATGTTGACCCGTGGGGGAAATAGATATTTTATTACATTTATTGATGATTGTTCTAGATACACTTATGTATATCTCTTAAAGCATAAAGATGAGGCTTTTAATGCCTTTAAGAGTTACAAAGCAGAAGTGGGAAATCAATTAAGTAGAAGTATAAAAGTCCTTAGGAGTGATAGGGGCGGTGAATACTTTTCTACTGAATTTGATGCATTTTGTGAAGAACATGGTATAATACATGAATGTTCGGCACCTAGAACACCACAACAAAATGGCATAGCAGAAAGAAAGAATCGAACATATCAAGAAATGATGAATGCCATGTTATTGCATTCCGAACTACCTTTCAATTTGTGGGGCAAAGCTTTATTATCCGCTTGTCACATAATAAATAGAATTCCCTTAAAGAAAAGTGGAATGTCTCCATATGAGGTATGGAAGGGCATGACACCAAATATTGGCTATTTTAAGGTGTGGGGGTGTGTGGCATATTACAAAAACATGGATCCTAAGAGAACCAAGTTGGGTCCTCGAGGGATAAGATGTGCATTTGTAGGATATGCACAAAATAGCAAAGCATATAGACTGTTAAATTTAGAGTCTAACATTATTGTTGAATCCCGGGATGTAGAATTCTTTGAAAACCTTATAACTAAGGATAAAGAATCAGAGTCGGCCATAAATAAAGAATCTTGTGAAAAAGACTCTTCTCGGATTGTAGAAATACAACCTGAAGACACATCTCGAATAAATGAACCACGGCCTGAACCTAGGATAAGCAAAAGAGTCCGGAAAATAAAGAACCTAGGACCAGACGAAATTGATTCTCAATCCATTTCATTTTATCTGGTTGAAGGAAATAATACAAATTTTATTAAAAGCATTCCGGTAATTCTTCAAGTAGGGGAAGATCCTAAAACTTATAAGGAAGCAATAGCTTCAAGAGACTCCTCTTTTTGGAAAGATGCTATCCGAGATGAAATGGATTCAATTATGTCCAACCACACATGGGAACTTGTTGATTTACCAAAGGGATCAAGACCCATTGGATGCAAGTGGGTGTTTAAAAAGAAATATCTTAGTGACGGTACATTAAACACTTATAAAGCAAGATTAGTGGCAAAAGGATTTAGACAAAAGGAAGGTATAGATTATTTTGACACTTATGCACCTGTAGCGAGAACAACCACTATAAGGTTGTTATTTGCTTTAGCATCTTTAAATGATCTGATTGTTCATCAAATGGATGTTAAAACAGCATTCCTAAACGGAGACCTCGATGAGGAAATCTACATGGAACAACCAGAAGGACACGTCCTTCCTGGAAATGAACAGAAGGTGTGCAAACTTGTCAAATCTCTATATGGCTTAAAACAAGCACCAAAACAATGGCATCAAAAGTTTGACTCTACGATAATGTCAAATGGATTTATTCCTAATTCTTGTGACAAGTGTTTATATACAAAAGTGTATAATAACACTGTAATATTTTTGTGTCTTTATGTTGATGACATGCTAATAATTAGTAATACACTTAATGGAATTTTAGAAACAAAAAGGTTTCTAACTTCCACTTTCAAGATGAAAGATCTTGGGCTTGTTGACACAATTTTGGGAATAAAAGTTAAGCAAAATAGTGGGGGTTATGAACTTAATCAAACACATTATATTGAGAAAATGCTTGATAAGTTCAAACACCTGAAATTCAAGGAAGTAACTACTCCATTTGATCATGTAATCAAACTTGAAAAGAATGATGGAAGAGCAGTGGCTCAATTAGAATATGCAAGTGCGATCGGATGTCTTATGTACTTAATGCAATGTACTAGACCCGATATATCATTTGCAGTTAGTAAAATGAGTAAATTTACTAGTAATCCAAGTAATGAACATTGGAAGGCAATCACGAGGATATTTGGTTATTTGTTGAAAACCAAAGATCTTGGCCTTCATTATGGTAGGTTTCCGGCTATATTAGAAGGATATACCGATGCCAGTTGGATCTCTGACGTGGGAAATCACAAATCTACAACTGGGTGGATATTTACACTAGCTGGAGGAGCAATTTCTTGGAAGAGCAAGAAACAAACATGCATTACTCTTTCGACCATGGAATCAGAATTCGTGGCTCTCGCTTCCGCTAGTCAAGAGGCAGAGTGGTTAAGGGATCTTCTTTTGGAAGTTCCATTGGCTAAAGACAATGTTTCAAAGGTAATGATACACTGCGATAGTCAGGCCACCTTAGCAAGAGCATTTAGCGAAGTGTATAATGGAAAGTCCAGGCATATAGGACTTAGACATTCGTTCGTAAGAAAACTGATTAAGGATGAAATCATTTCACTTACATATATACGAACAAGCTATAATTTGGCTGATCCGTTGACTAAGCCACTGGCCAGAGACTTAGTAAGAACAACCTCGAGAGGTATGGGGTTGAAACTCCTTGAGTAAGAGTTCCGACAATGGCGGCAACCCAATCTTAAGTTAACAGAACATTAACGTTAAGATTTTCAATGGGTAACAACAAGTCGTTGATTTGGATAATTGTCTAACATTTCATAATTATGTTGACATTAGAAATGAGGGTTGAGTTTTATCTTAAACTCTTAATGAAGTTCAATACCGAGGGTACGTATCTATTGGACACAGATACTATATGAACTTCACCTATGTGAATTATGAGATGGTGCCGTCTCAAAGTGAGAGTTGGAGTTTCTCTCATGAAAAATTAATGAAACAGGATAGCACATGGCCATAAATAAGTGCTAAGCGAGTTATGCAGAGGAAGAATCTTTAAGGAGTGTGTGTAAGGTAACACCGGTCTATTTATATGGATTCATGGTTTAAAAGCATTGCTACCTAATATTCCGATTAAACCTTGTGTTATTCTTACTAAGGTTAAGTTTAAAATCGAAAGATACTTAACTGTATTAATACTTCTTATGTCCCATTTCTGGAATTATTATTTTGTCATTATTAGAACAAGTGGGGGATTGTTGGAAATAATAATATATTTCCATTAAAGTTGTTCCAAAATGACAAAGTGGGTGTTATAATAAATGCTTAGTCCCACATTGGAAGAGGAGTAAAATTAAATAGCATTTATAAGGCACTTGGAACAATGTAATTTCCAAAAGAGCCAAAAAGGATAAAGTGCCACATAGTCATATGTGGTAGTGCCAAAACTTATGTCACTTGTCTCATACAAAACACCCCTCGCCGGTGTCGCCACCGGCGACACCGGCTCCGGCTCCGGCTCCGGAACCGGATCCGGGGGCGTGGGCGTAGAGGCGCTAGTGGCGGCTTGTAGACGGCACTTGAGCACTTATTCGTTGCCTAGAGTTTGATTTTGAATTTGAATTTGAAATACATGACACTTGACGAAGTGGTGCATGATACTTTATTTGAACCATTGCAAATGCTCATTAGAGAGTGTGTTTATGAAGAATTGCAAACTTCTGAAAAGACACATGCATGACTATAAATACATGCTTCATAATTCGAAATCATTCACTCAAAAATTCTGAAATCCTCTTCCATATAATTCCAACGTCTTCCTTGCATTCGAAACTTCACCAGTCTTGTGCAGTTTCGAGAAAAAGGCTGACTTATCCTGGGTATTCAGGCCGTTCCAACTCTAAGACAATTTGAGAGTGTGCTTGAAATACTTTTAAGGAAAGTGATTTCGTTCACGATTCAGTCTGGATTCATTCGACATAGAAGGAATAACTTACACTACTTTTACTATCTAACTAATTCTTCCATAAAAAAAATAATTAACTCTAGATATCCATCTTTTCTTTATGAGAATATTTTCAATATTATTCAGTATTTCAAATGAATAAAAAATATTCAAAGTGTTGTATATGTAATAGTAGTAGCTAGAGACATACTTAGCCTTTACATATGAAAAGGTGAATTTAATGAGAATGAAACGTTTATTTCCTCAATATTATGCTAAGGCCATTTTTATCATCATTCTGACCAGGTCAAATTTCTAATTAAGGCAAGTACTTGTTTGTGAGGTTTAGTAGAAAGCAAAAAAAAAGATTAATCTACACGTGTAGAAAAAGAATCCATAAACAAAACTATGATATTCTTGATCATGCTTAGTGCAAGAATTCAGGAAGCAAATACATGAGCACGGTTCATTTTTGTGTTAAATTTCTGCCTCTGGTTATCATCCAAATGAAGAATATAAATACAAAAGCAGTGTTATTCAAAGGTGATAAAAATGGCTCAACTCGAACGCCCTCAGAGACATGTCGATTCTGCAAAAAGTCCTGGTTCCATTCAAACCATGGAACAACTTGTCCGAGGTAATCGCTCATCATCATTAAACATTACCAGTTCATGCGAATTAGCATTTTTTATATGTTAGGACGATGTTACCATGAAAAAGGTACCTTTTATGTTATATATAAGCTATTTTGACATACAGCAGGAGAAGCTGCAAAGCCAAAGCTGTCACCAAGCAAATCGTCGTCTTCCTCGGCCTGTTCTTCTCCGTCCTCTCCTTTCTTCCAAAGGATGATGCATCTTGACTCAGAAGAAGACCATGGCCAGAATCATAGTCAGAAGAAATCAGTTATCACCAAAGTAAAGGAAAAAGCCAAGAAGTTACGCCATAGCCTCAGTAAGAAAAGACACGAGGACTGGAATATTAATAGTCCCCCGTCGAGTGCTGGACATGAAGGTGATGGAGCAGAAGAAGATGCTGAACACCATGGAGCTACATGTAGTAAAAAAACCTATATATAACCGTCTTCTCTTGATTCTTTTTTATTCGTATATGAATAATTGTTGTCTCCGATTAATATTACAGTGTATGAATCTGAGATGGCACATGAAGGACATAAAGAATATACAAGGCAACATTCAAGACTGACTCCAGTAACCCCACAGAAGCATATTCTGTCAAACGCTGAAAAGCTTGGATTAGAACATGCTAGAGAAAAGACGCTAATCCGTTCGCTGTCAAAGAAAATAACACAACCGGCTACAACAGCAACTACTGCACCGACACTTTCTGGTCCAAGCAAGATAATCACCAAAACCTCACCGGAGAAGAACCAGACACCAGCACATGCTGAAGGATCAGAAACAGCTCAATATATAACTTCCAAAATTCACGGCCTCTCAGTTTCCAAACCCGGAGAGAATCACAATTCATCACCAACAGACGCAACAGCTAATAAACAGGTATCATTGTCCCTTCTCACTTCACGTACTCCTCCAGCTAAGATGCCTTCTCAAATAGCTCCGAGCACCCCTCGAGCTTCATCAAATCCAGTGGAAACTTCACCACCTTCACCACCCGCATCTGCTCCACCGAGTCCGAGCAATAACACTCCCCCATCACAGATATGGGATAAGGGTGTTTCGGTGAAGGAATACTTGATGAACAAATTTGAGCCAGGTGAAGATGAGAAAGCTCTCTCCAGAGTGATATCTGAAGCAATGAGTCCTAGAAGAACTCCCGGTGATGTAGGTGTGATTGAGAAGGTGAGAGAAGCTGTAACATCTTTGCTCCGAACTGAGGAAGCAACAAAACATGCAGACACAAACACAAACACAAACACTACTGCTCGCACGCCATCCCAAGTCTCAGAATCTACCAGCACCACCCATGCACCATCTCAAATCTCTGTCTCAGCCTCTACCAGCACTACCCGTGCGCCATCTCAAATCCCTGTATCTTTTAACTATCAAGAAGGTAATTTACTACTAGTTCATTTCATATCATCAGTTTTTTTCCCTATACATTTTTCTTCCCTCTAACATAAGCCAATCTTTAATTCGGTCATTCTAAATATGCAGATGTTCACGAAGAAAACCATGGCAGGGTTCTTCAGGAAAATTGAAAGTCCACATGATGTTTTTGCTTCATTCTTGTGTATGCATTCAGTTTCTGTTCAACCTTGTCTTATATGCACACCCTAATTAGACTGAAAATATAGTTTCCCTTATATTTGTAAAATTTAATAGTATGTAATAAGTTGTGTTTTCTGCGTAAAACGACCTGAAGGATACATTGTATATATATATATATATGTATAACATCGCATATACTTACATTTTTTTTGCCATAAAATATTTAGCTGTGAATCATGAATACTAAAGTAATAAGTTAGAACCCTGGCGTGATTTGAGTAACTTGATTAGAGATGGTAATCTCATCTTATTGCAAACATTACCGCGAACATCAAATTACACGCATGAGATATACAAAAGGTGACAAACTATAATGCACTCACATCAAAAGCTAGTTTCGGCTGTCACTTCAAGATTTTGGATTCAATATCTTCTAAGCTCAAGCCTTTTGTCTCCGGGACAGAAGTTACAATGAACACAAGTGACACTAAAGCAATGGCTGCAAAAAGGAGAAAAAGGTTATCTGCTCCAAGATACTCCTGCAATGGAAATCAACATAGATTATAAGTTCCAAAAGAAATCAGACAACGTTCAAAAATAATTGAGTTATCTTCCTTAAGAAAATAAAACTGAAATTAATGAATCTGAAACCTTTAGTGGTGAGAATGCAAAGGTTACAACTGCATTGGATGCGAAGTTGGTAAGAACAGCCATACTAATCCCTCGTCCTCTAGTGCGAAGTGGGAAGATTTCCGATACCATAAGCCAACTTATTGGCCCAAACGATATCTGCAATTCAAATGAAATTTGACATTAATCTATCGTAGTCCATAATATTTTAAGCCATGGTTATCAGTATCTTACAATATATACGATACAAATCCCTAGTGTGAATCTATTTTGGACCTGAATATCATCTTGAATCCTGGTTCATTGTAATGAATTCTGATTCACCATAATGAACTTCTACCTAAACTTAGCATAGCTAACCAACTCTTTGGCCAACCCTGTATAAGCAGGGCCAATGAACAAAAAATCATTACCTGGTAGCAACCAACGTAAAGCAGTAAAGCCGCAACAGCAACAATCGGTAACCCTCCGAGAAATTTATAATAAGCGGAAAGGAGAACTAAAGATAGGGCCTACAGAAATAAAACAAAACTGTGTAACCATTGCATTTGACAAGTTGAATTACTGTAAGAATCTGTTAGTTACTTCAAATGTGATAGAATTCCTACAATGCCACTGACACCTCCAATCAGCAGAGGTCTTCTCCCCAAATCATCAACTTTTAGAACAGCAACCGATGTCATTACCAACTACAAGTTGATCAATCACAAAAATAATACCGTCAGTGTACCAAGGTCTCTCTTCCTACAAGTGAAAAACCTAAATAGGTATACCTTGAATAGGCCAATAACAACTGAAACTTTAGCTGCATCGGCTGCAGCAGAAAATCCAGCACTCTAGATATATGACATGTATATAATCTACTGTGAGCAAGATGGAAATGAGAAAATTTTCATTGAAAATAAAGCTAAAAATGAATTTTAACAATTAAGTACCTGAAGAATAGGACCTGCGTAATACAGAACACTAGGTTGACCTGTTATCTATTGTAATAAGGTGTGGTATCAGACAAACAGCAGAAAGAACTCTCCATATTTCCTTCAGTATAACATGAATAAAGTGGAAGTATCCACACAGAATTATGATATAAATTATAATGATGAAATAACTCATTGCACTGAAATGGAACAACCTGTTGAAATAATACTAGCCCCCCACCGATTATGAACGCTTTCAGATTGGGACCCTGAAACACCTCTAAGAAATTCGCCTCGGATTCTTGATCTTCATACGCTGATTTCAATGAGACGAGGCTCTCTTCTATCTGCTTCTCAGATTCTTTGTCACCAGGTGGTCGGCCCCTTAATTTGCTAAGGGAAACAATTGCCTTCTCCTTCAAATCTTGAAAAGAACCTATTCCTTGTACTGCTTTGAGAAGCAACCACCGAGGAGAGGCGGGGAGAGTCCACATTCCGAGCCCCATCAACACAGCAAGCGGAGCACTAAATCCATACATGAATCGCCACCCACCAACGGTAGTAATCTGAAAGCTTCCCACAAAATAACCCAACTGCGTGATAGTTCAGTCACCGGCTCAGTAAACTCTTCAGTTGATATGAGATACTTAAAAGGCAATAACGTAATGTACCAGAATCCCCAAAACAATGAAGAGTTCTTTTAATGATACTAGAGTCCCACGGATTTGTGATGGACATGTCTCTGCAATGTATAAAGGAGCTCCATGCATGGCCTGAAATTCATTTCGCATGTAAGATTGTGCCGAAGTAATCAATATTACCAACAAAAAACATGTTATGGTTTAAAGTAGCCTACCAAACCTATACCAAGTCCATAAACCAGCCTTCCTGCTAAGAGAACACCAAGTTCTGGTGCAGTGGCAGTGATTGCACTGCCAAGTAGATACAACAAAGCCGCACCGATGAGCTGACGCTTCCTCCCTAGTGTTTTAGCCAAATTAAATCCTTAAAAAATCTAAAGAAGTTCAGTTTCTGCTTTTTTGGATAATGTAAGTAAGCAAAGCATTTACCAATGAAATCAGCAATTGCAAATGCAAGAAGTGAGCCAAGAAGAGCCCCATATAGGGAACCACTAACCTATGTTTGACATTTCGAGTTAGATTCTAATGTGTAAAAATTATCATAACTTTCCCATAAATTGCAAGCAAGAAGTTTTCCAGGTATGATACAGAAATCATACCACAAGTCCAAGCTGAATGGCAGAAAGATTGGACCAAGCGATACCGCTAAGCTCCGGTGACTGAATTCAAATCAATCATATGAAAAACCATTTATTTATGTAACTGACAAACACTGATTGACAAATTTTTACCTGCAGTGAAATTGTAGCACCGGACGTGGCACCAATATCATAACCAAATAACAAGCCACCCAATGCAGGGAACACAAACCTAAATTTTGAAACAACATACAAAATTAACTGGTACACATAGGCCTAAAGCTTGTTACTTAACCTATATAAAGTCTTAATTTCATTTAAGTAGTTACTTTCAGTGTCTATGAAGCAAGAGCAAGTAGTAAAACATCACATACTTTGACACATTTATTACAGTTTTTCACATTATCCTACTCCTACACCTCTCTTATTCAGTCAATGCCTTAGAAAGAAAGAAACGTGACAGAAACGTACGGAAGAATTACAGAAGACCAAGAAAATTTCTCTTGGTAAGTTTCATCGGAAGCAACCGACTCAGAATTGCTCCCAGCAGAATACGCCTTCTGCGCTTGAACCTGCCCAGAAGATGAAAAGAGCAAATTAGACTAAAAAGCTTAAAACTTTGATGAGTTTTCAAGTTTCTGGCTACTCACATGGAATTTGCGGTTATGAATAGTGTGAGAGGTGAGAAGTGGAAAACAGACACGTGTTGGCGAGAAATGATTGTTAATGGAAGAAGAAAGGAAGAGCGGAGAAGAAAACGGAGGTTTTGACTTTGTTGTTATCCTTTGATGGTGAAGTGGTTTGAAATTGAAGAGACTGGTTGATGATGCCATTTGAGAGTAGTTGGTTGAATCAGGAGTGAGGAATCATGGTTGTTTGTTTGTTATCTGTTTGTGAATCTTGACAAGTAAATGAAATGGCACAGTGTGTGATGCAAGATAGTCCATACACCACACAGGTGTAAAATGAAATCCAATAGTTAAAATGATATCCAATAGTTAAATTGATGTTTCGCTTATTTATTTTTAAATTGCGAAATTTTAGCTTTTAAAAATTTAATATCTTTTTTGGTCTCTTAATTTTAGTCAATGTTTCTTTGAGTTTTTAAAAATAACTTTATGTAGTAGTCCATTAACTTATATCATGTTACATATTTTAGTCATTTCTATTAGTTTTTGTTGAGAAAACGTTAAAACTTGCTTTGATGGACTTTTAATGGTTGAGTTGAAATATTTATTTATTTTATATTGATTAAAATATTACAAATAACAAACAGAATAAGCTGAAAGGTGATAGGGCTTAGGTCATATGTTCGTGAAAGCACAGCTGGAGAGAAAAAACAACGAAGACGATTCACAACACAAGTTCCATTAAAGATGATAACGACATTATTCACAACCCTCCATTGAAGACGAGCTGCATTCATCCACCGCTTGAAGAAGAAACCCTAAGATACGAATTTGCAACCCTAACTTACTAAAAATGTTAACTTTTTTCTTTACCCAACCTACTTAGTACTTTTGCTACCATATATAGGTTGATTAGGTCATGGAGAGTAAGTTTCAGTGTTTTATTCATCATTCCGGTGAATTTTCTAGGGACTTTGTCAATTTTGCCAAGTCAGGTTATGTAGGGTTAGAGGAAATTTGGGATGTTAATCCCGATTATTGAAGTTACTTTGAAATATTGGACAAGTTAAAAGAGTTAAGTTACCCTACTATAGATAGGTTTTGGTATTATGATGACATGCATGCAGATGATATAGTTGTAAGAAAATGACAAGGGGACTGATAGGATGAGAACAATTGCAGTGATAACTAGGGAATGACATTTGTATGTTACACTTCATGTATTTAAACCTAGTGTTATTGATGAGCCTATACTCTCATACCATATGGGATCACTGTATGTGAAGATTTTGTGGGTGAAAGGCCTGAACTGGATAATAATGAAGATGGGACCACATTGGGTGAAGATGTGGTTGGTGAAGGGCCTGAACTGGGAAATAGTCAAGGTGGGACCACAGTGGATGAAGATGTGGTGGAAGAGGGGACAACAATTGAGGAAACTGAGGAAAATGTTGGAATTGAGAAAAATGAGGAGAATGTGAGGACTAACTGTGAAATTGAGGAGAATGTGAGTCAAAAAGAGAAAAACTGTAATAATAAGGATAATGTGGGGACCAACTGTGAAATTGAGGAGAATGTGGGTCAAGAGGAGACAA